TGCTCTGTGCTGCTCTGTGTTGGACCCAGCTGAGTATGGACTGAAACCTCCAGTAACTGTGAGCTAAATAAACCTTTCCTTCCTTCATTTTGAGTGTCGGGTATTTGTCCCAGCAACGAGAGAAGAGTAACAAAGACACCCCGATAAATAATTTAAAACAAAATTAAAGAAAAATAAACAGGAGAATTACAAGTTTGAGACCAGCCTGGAAAACTTAGAAAAGGGTTCAGGATGTACATCCATCTCAGAGTGTTTGCCTAGCATATGGAAGGGCTTGGCTTCAATCCTAGCACTTCCCAAAGGGAGGGTGTGTGTGTGCGTGCGTGCATGTGCTTGTGCGTGCATGCGTGTGTGTGTGTGTGTGTGTGTGTGTGTAAGATTCTGATACATAGCACAATGCGGATAAATGTTGAAAACTGCAATCTAAGTAAGCCTATGCTTACATGAAGAACCTAGAATAGGCTAGTTCATAGTATAAGCAGCAGGATGATTGCCATCCTCCATCCCCAACAACAGGGAGTTATTTCATTTGTTTCAGTTTTGCAAAATGAAAAAGTTCTGAAATTTGGATGAAACAATAAAAATATACTACTGAACACTTATAAAAATGCTTAACCAGATATAATGGTTCAGGCTTTAGGCCTCATATATCCATCCTCTATTACAGTTGAGAAAACAAAGACCCAATGTCAAAGACAGAGGACCTGGGGCTGGGAAGATGGCTCAGTGGAATAAGCGCTTGCCTGGCAAGCGCCTGAGTTTAATCCCTGGTTACACACACACACACACACACACACACACACACAGAGGACCTTCCACCCACCAGGTTGCTCGCTAAGGTTCCTATGAAGCCTGGTACCCCGGAGAACATACTACTGATCTGAACACTTAAAAATGCTTAGAGGGCAAGGGTGATGGCTCAGTGGAATGAGCGCTTCCCTGGCAAGCATATGGGCCTGAGTTCAATCCCCGGTTCCGCAAAAAAAAAAAAGTGTGAAGCAAACCACCCAGTCCTCCATCCAGTGCCCCCCTCCCCACGGAGGGGAGACCAGAATCGGGGCACCAGAGCCAGCGCATGGGTTAGACTGTGGGGAAACGCAGGGATCTCGAGTGCCTGCAGTGCTCTCTCTCGGTGGCTTAGCACTAGGGTTCTTCCTCCCTCCTCCACTGTCCTGCGTCCTTGGGAGAAGACAGTTGTCCGATTCAGTGAGCTACAGTAGAGATCCTGGGGCCAGAGAATGAGAGCAAGTACCAGCGCCACTCTCCACCCTGGGGTGGGCTGTGGGTGCCCTGGACGACGGGAACGTGCATGAGGCCACTCGGCAGCACCGCTCTTAGCACAGCAGGAACAAGCCCACCCTCGGCTGTTCGCTCCTCCCCCTGACCCAGCGCACCCCAGCTCCGGCGCCTGCAGCCCCGCGGAGTCTGGCTGGGCCCCCTCGGCGGCCCAGGCGGCGAAAAGTTGTGTTCTAACCAAGACCCAGACCTTTGCAGGAGCCACGCAGCTTCGGGGTTGGTGTCACCATGAACGCCTCGGGCAGCCTGGGGGGCGAGAACGCAAGCCAGGAGGGCGGCGAGGTTGGCTGGCAGCCAGAGGCGGTCCTCGTGCCCCTGTTCTTCGCGCTCATCTTCCTCGTGGGCACCGTGGGCAACGCCCTGGTACTCGCTGTGCTGCTGCGCGGCGGCCAGGGGGTCAGCACCACCAACCTGTTCATCCTCAACCTGGGCGTGGCCGATCTGTGCTTCATCGTGTGCTGCGTGCCCTTCCAGGCCACCATCTACACTCTGGAGGGCTGGGTGTTCGGCTCCGGGCTCTGCAAGGTCGTGCACTTCCTCATCTTCCTCACCATGCACGCCAGCAGCTTCACCCTGGCCGCAGTCTCCCTGGACAGGTGAGCAGGTGTTGAGTCAGGGGCTGGAAAGGGAGGCGCGATCCCGAGATCAGGAGGGGCACGAAGAGGGAGGGAGATGACACTAAGATGGCAAAGGGACTGGAGACAGTGGAAGACAATCGGATGCGGAGGATAAAGAGGGCCAAGAATGGAGGACGTGGTGACCCTCCGTTGGTACTTCCTCGGGACCTCTTGGGCTGCAGAATTCAGCTCTCCAGCGCCGCCCGCGCCTGATAATGAGCGGCGCTTCTCCGACACAGCCTTTTCTCTTGTGTCATCTCGTTTGAGTGTAAAGCCCCTGTTAGGCTATGATGGGTGAGGTTACTGTGCCCAATTTACAGAAAAGATAGAGTTGGTGAGCCCGCCATCGTGTGCGGAAAGCGAACCACCCGTCTTTTAGAAGTCCGGGGCCTCCCCCGTCTCCTGCGCTGGCCTAGAAGCCACAAAATGATTGTTGAGCCGCTTCACATCCCTGGCTCACTCTCAGCCCACTCCGCACCCTGTCCCCTGTCTCCGGGTGGAGGAGCAGGGAAGGGGCTAGGTTGGGGCAGGGGAGGAGAGTGCCTTGGGGTTCTCCCTCCCCAAAGGACAGCCAGAGTACACCTTTCCTAGAGCACAGGTCTCAGGGGAACTTGGCAGGATATTAGGATGGGGAAGAAATGAGGTCCGACTTCGGTAACCCCATCTTCTGGATCTTGCGGAAGAGCAATGAGGTGAGCCTCCCATTTCCACAGCGTCGGAGCCGAGATGTGTCTGGTCAAGTGCGTTGGGACCCGAAGGCTCCAGCCTCCCTCTGGAGTTCTCCAGAGCTTCCTTCCCCAGCTTGTCTGCTCCGGGCCTTCTGCTAGCGCCTCAGGCGCCAGTTTTAGTGAGGAATGTCACTAATGGATAACGACTCTGGGCTCTGGGCTCTCCTCTGGGCCCATGGCTGGCTTCCAATTTTTAGTCTTCAGTGTCTTCGGGTGCTCTTCGGCGTGGAGTATATCTGTAGGCACAAAACTCAGAACAGCAAAGAGTGGCTTCCATGAGCGCCTTTCCTGCCACACCGGTTTACTTTCAGGCACGCTGGGTGTGCTGCGGTGTAACCTCGCCTTAGGGACTTTTCTGAGAGCTGCCGTAGAGGCTGAGATGCAGGGGTAGCGGCCCACCTGGCGTGAACCGCACTGTTCACCCAACGTCTCCCTTTCCAACCTGCTCCCCAGGTATTTGGCCATCCGCTACCCGCTGCATTCCCGCCAGCTGCGCACTCCTCGAAATGCGCTGGCGGCCATCGGGCTCATCTGGGTGCTGGCGCTGCTCTTCTCCGGGCCCTATCTGAGCTACTACCGCCAGTCGCAGCTAGCCAACCTGACTGTGTGCCACCCAGCCTGGAGTGCGCCTCGCCGCCGCGCCATGGACCTCTGCACCTTCGTCTTCAGCTACCTGTTGCCGGTGTTGGTTCTTGGCCTGACCTATGCACGCACCCTGCGCTACCTCTGGCGCGTTGTAGACCCTGTGGTTGCAGGATCTGGTGCCAGGTGCGCCAAGCGCAAGGTGACTCGCATGATCGTCATCGTGGCGGCGCTCTTCTGCCTCTGTTGGATGCCTCACCACGCGCTTATTCTCTGCGTGTGGTTCGGCCACTTCCCCCTCACACGTGCCACTTACGCCCTGCGTATCCTCTCGCACCTGGTTTCCTATGCCAACTCCTGCGTTAACCCCATAGTCTATGCGCTGGTCTCTAAGCACTTCCGCAAAGGCTTCTGCAAGATCTGCGCAGGCCTGCTAGGTGGTACTCGGCGGCGCCAAGCCTCTGGCCCAGCGTGCGTGGCGTCACTGGGCATTCACAATGGCAGCGTGCTGGAGCGTGAGTCTACCGAACTGACGCACATGAGCGAAGAGGCCAGGGGCCCGTGTCCCTGTCCTGATTCCTTCCAGCTGCACAGTCCCTGGACCATCAAAATGCCTCCAACAAGATCTTGACCATTAACATGACCTCAATCCTCAAGGCACTTAAGCCTGTAACTTTGGGCATTTTAAGAGTTGGAGGCAGAGGCTGGAGACTGTGAGAGTTTCATCTATTAACCAAAAGTAAAAACCATTTCACCCAGTGACTTGCTCTGTCCAAACAACACATTGTGAAGGCCCATGAGGAAAAGACTCTAGAACTTCACAGGGGATTCCTGATGGATGGGTGAAGGGCACTTTGCTGTTGGGGCAAAGGGAATGTCCACACTGAGTTCAGCAGCCTTAAAATAAAAGTGTCTATCTGGAGCTGGGGAGTGAAGGACCACCAACACGCTTCACATGTGGTTGTTAGAGGCAGCAGGTGTATGTGGACTGCTGAACCATCAGCCAGTGTACAACAGAGGTAGGCAGAGTATTTAAATGTTCAATAAAGTCCTTGACAAATGTAAACACTGCGTGTTCCTAGTTGCATTCATGCACAAATTCCTAACTGGTCCTCGCCTTGGGCCCCTTCTGCTCTGAGCAGCCTGATCAGTGCCCATCCACTGTTGACCTTGATGTTTCCTTCTCTGGATGTAGCTTGACCTAATCATGTCTCCAGTATCCATTTTTGCCAGGGGCCAGGAAAGTGGTTTTCTTGGTACTGCTCCAGCCTGGCTTGGAGCAGGCTGAAAAGTCAGTAGGATATTCCCCTCCCCCCATTTGTTGACTGGTCTCTGTGTCCCTCCATTTGCCCCAGTCCCAGTATTTCAGCCAAGGCTGTTCACTTACACCAGGGTCTAATGAGAGGCATAGACACTTATGGGTAACCCTATCACATATTGTGGAATGGAGGGCACTTTGGCCAACGGCATGGATATTTACCTAGGTTGTTGACAGCTACTGAAACAGAAGAGACCTTACTTGGAAAGCCCAAAGAAGGACGAGGTGGGGGCTCCAGGCTTACTCCATGCCTCTCAGCAGGCTTTGAACAGGGCAGTGGGTTCCAGGTGGTGGAAATGAAGCATGGCAGGGGCACCTGGGCAGGTGCAGGGCAGGTAGGGCTGGGTCCTGGGCTTTGTCTTTAGGTGTTTGCAGAACTGGGTGGGTGGGGGTGCCAAGTACAAGGCCTCAGAGTCACTGCAGAGAGCAGCTGCCTCCATCCAACTCCTCAACCCCCAGAGGTGACTGAAGTACGACGTAGCTTTAAACTCCACTCACTGCTCCCTCCAAGCCCTCTGGGCAGTCACGGATGATGGCTCAGTGGATGGTGCTTCTTCTTACCTTCCTTGGGGTTGGCACCATCCAGCCCTTGGTCCAGGAGTCTGGCTTCAGAGAGTCAGCTACTGGTAAGTTGATGGCTTCAGGACAAGCTTGGGATTTCACCCCCAGGGCACCAGGTTAACCTCAACCTCTACTGTTCAGAGGCTCCATCTCTTCTCAACCTCAACTTGCCCCTGGAGGCTCAGGACACCACCCAGATTCTAAGAACCAGGAGTGCACCCCTGCTTGTGCACGTGCAGGTGTTTGTGTCCAATGTATTTAATGTGGTAAGTGCTGCTTGACTACGGGAAGGCAGGGGACCCAAGTACTAGGCCAGGGAGGGGCAGAACTCAGCACTGGCTACTGCTAGGGTCTCTTGCCTCCTTGTCATGCAGAACCCACCCAAGGTCATGTCTTTCTCCTGTCCTCAGGACATCCTGCAGTACACACTGTGCTCCGTGCTGATGCTAAGGCTGGTGAGCTCCCATCCTGCGGGAGGTAGGACAGGAACACACGGCCAGTCCAGCTTGGAAGCACTGGCATTCATCATCCCGTGGGCATTAGGGGCATGTAAATGCAGAGAACAGGGCTTCAGTGGTGTCCTTGTGTCCCCAGACTTGGGTGGACACTCGCCTGGCCTGGAACACTAGTGCATACCCACGGCATGCGGTCACACTGCCCTGGAACTCACTCTGGACACCCAAACTCACCATCCGGGAAGCGTAAGTGAGGTGGGAACCCACCTACCATACACAAACTTCATTTCACCATCTAGAACCCAGAGACTGCTTTTGGTAAATATTTTCTGCATTTTCCTTTCTCTGACAACAGAGGGGTTTGGGGAGGTGTTGACCCCATCCTAGCCCCAGAAGGTGCTGAGGCTCTCCCTGTGGCACCTCTTCCCTCATAGGCTTTGGGTGGACTGGAAGGACCAGATGCCACAGGTTCGAGTATACCATGATGGCCATGTGGTGCTTAACCTGGCCCTCACCACGGAGACCAACTGCAACTTCGATCTCCTCCACTTCCCCAGGGACCAGAGCAACTGCAGCCTCAGCTTCTATGCTTTCAGCAACACTGGTGCTGACAGGGCAGGGGAGGGCTTCTTTGGCCTCTAGTGCATGTTAGACCCTGGGCTCTGGGCTAAGATCAGTCTACTTCAGGTTTAGGGGAACTGAATGGTGCCAAACAGCACATGCTACTCACTGTGCACCTCCACTCAAACACCAGCCCATCTTGCGTCGGCCTCAGCTGGGGCCTCATTGCCCTCCTCTAGAGCCACAGCCTAGTGCCTTTATAATCCTGGGGTTCTGGTCACTTCAGGTTTCTCTCCTCAGAGCAGGCGTTCCCAACAGCCAGGTCCAAACCACAGTTGCTGGACTACATGCATCCACTCCAGAGGCAACTGAAGGGTCACTAGCCAGGAAGTATCCTCAGCCCATCAGATGACATGTTAATCAGTGAAGTACTTCCCCCTTTACCTCTTTCCCCTCCACAAAAGTGACAACTGCTGCCCCATGGACCATGTTTCCCATGTGAGCTGATGGACTGGTGTATGAGTCTGTGACCATGTCCCTGCCATGAAGTTGCAACTTATTTGCAATGATAACTATTTGTGAATCTAATAGGGCTCTTCCTTTAACTGGAGACAGTGAGGTGTTGAGAAGCATATGGGAAGCCCTTGTATGGATGTTTTTTCTCCAAGCATGCTTTTCAGAAATCACAAGATGTCTGCCTCATTCCTGGGCTCGAGCTTGGGTTTCTACTTTTAAGCGATTTGAGGGCAGGGATCTCCCTTTTCTAGTCTACCCTTCTCATCCCCATCCCTTTCAGTGGAGGAGCTGGAGTTCGAGGCCCACGCAATGAATGAGATTGTGAGTGTCAAGAGAGAATATGTAGTTTATGATTTGAGGATCCAAGACCCACCCCAGGATCTGGTGCCCTGCTTCCAGGTGACGGTGAGTCAAATGGAGGGCAATGAGAGAGCAGAGCTGGGGCCCCGACACCGCCCCCATGCGGCCCACCCCCTTCCACATCCTGAGAAAGGCTCAACTCTTCCTTTCAGATGAGCCTGAAGAACACAGCAGTAGAGTCCATCATATCGCTGCTGGTGCCTGGAGAGGCGCTGTTGTTAGCTGACGTGTGTGGGGGGCTGCTGCCCCTCCAGGCCACTGAGCGCATTGCCTATAAGGTGACACTGCTGCTGGGCTACCTCGTCTTCCACTCTTCCCTGGTGCAGGCCCTACCCAGCTCCTCTTCCTGCAACCCACTGCTCAGTAAGCCCTGCTCCCTCCCACTCCACATGGCCTGTCCCTGACCTGCTGTTACCTGAGCCTCTGCCCAGCCAGGCCTAGTCCCTGAAGTTCTTTCCCACTTTTAGTTTACTACTTCTCAATCCTGCTGCTGCTGCTCTTCCTCAGCACCATGGAGACCGTGTTGCTGGCTGGGCTGCTGGCCCGGGACAACCTTAGGAATAAAAGCAGCCCCAGCCCAGTCCCAACAGAGGAAAAGAGAGATCAGGAAAACCCAGGGCCTAATCCTGAAGGTGAGCAGGAGCTAAGGCCCTAACTAGCGGGTGAGAGCGAAGCCTGGGGCAGGGCTGACAGGGCACAGCAGGCAGGTGCACGCCTAGGACTGGGCGAAGGCTCAGGGCTGGCTGAGTCTGTCGGAGCTACCTGCACTCAGCCAGCTGCAGCTACTATCTCCATGCTCCACTTTGCCCTCCCTGGGAAGAAGCAGGCCCATCTGCAACAGTCATTGAGCTTAGCCTCCCTAAAGGCCAAGGTCACCTCAGACCGTGAATTAATCCCGGAGATCTCTAAGAGGGTATTTCTTCCTGTGGAAGTGGTTTAGGTTGGGCCAGACCCCAACTTTCTTTAGTTGAGAATCTAAGGGAAACTTAGTGGTCTGCTCTGCAAGAGTAGGTTGGAGGAGGTCTGAAGAAAGCTCTTTTCCCTGCTTCCACCCCCACAGTATCCCCAAGAGGAGAAAAAGGCTCAAGGAGCTGGGCTGAGGCTGCTGACCACACCTTCTTCCTCCTATATGTGGCCAGCGTGGTGTGCAGCCAGTTGCTCTTTGCTGGAATCTGGATGTGGGCAACATGCAACTCTGACCCAGCCCCTGGTGAGGCTGTTCCCCATGGTGGACAGCCCAGGGTGTAACAGGGCAGCGCTGGGGCCCACAGACTGTAGGATGCAGTGTAGCTCCCCATGGCTGGAGGAAAAGGCATGGCAGGATCTCTGGAGAGAGGGGAGTGAAGGCCAGCTATTCCCTAACCCTGTAGGCCCTGGGTACCATGAGTTCTTGGCTCTGCATGAGTATGACTAGAAATAAACCCTTCACCCAAGTGCAAGAACACTGCCAGTGTCTGCCTTCATTAAACTCAACTGTTAACACTCGTGCTAAGCAGGGGGCCAACTTCACCCCTTGACCTCCTACTTTGCTCCTGGACCACTCACATCATCTACTCATCTCCCACCACACACACACAGCCTCACTGCTTGTTCTGTGACTGCTGCTATCTGGCCCTGTGCCAGGAGGCGCTAAGAGTGGGGACTAGGAGATGGAGCTGAGTGGCTGGCCTCAGAGGTGGGTCAGAGCTTCTCCACACGCTTCCTGCAGCATGCTGGACTCTACAGGCAACAGGTAGAGAGCACTTCTCTCTCCCACCGAGAGAACTGTGTGGAGAGCCTAAGTCTGTGGATGTTGCACTATATCCGAGAGACGGACCCTGACCGCTTTTTCTCTAGGTCTTCCCTCTGGCTAGGACATGGCCTGCTCCTCTGAGCCCCACCACACTTCTGGGCTGGATGGGAGTTTTCCATCTTCAGGTCTGAACTAGGCTGGGGAGGGTCTTCCCGCCTGGTAGGCAGATACATGAAGAGGCTTGGGGCATGGGCCTCTGGCTTCCTTCTCTTATCTCAGAAGCCATCACATGGCCCTGCCTGGCAGGGCTCAGTCATAAAACTTGAGGTCTCAAAGGTTCCCACATCCTAGGAAAGTGCTGGTTTGAAGGGGAGCACGGGTATAAGGAAGTGGACACGAGGACCAGAGGGTACAGGGACAGGGCTCCTGGATGGGGCCGTGGAGAAGAGTCTCTGTCTCAAAGGACTTCAAACTCACCCAGATCAGAGGCAAGTTAACACTGATTTATCTGTCCAGTGACATGGCTAGTCTGATGGAACCAGGCAGAGATACTGGCAGGCTTAGGCAGAGGTGTCAAAAAGGCGCTCGATCATATCGCCCACCTGCTCCACACGGTACTTGATGTACTTGTCAGTGTTCTTGGTGAAAGGCACGTTGCTGTACCTGCCCGGGCACCATGGTTGGGGGAGGAGAAAGGTTAACCCCGCCTCAGCTTCCCTGCACTTGCAACAGATCTGAGCTGCCATGGGGTGCCCCTAAGTTATGGCCCCAAGCCCAAGACACTGGCTCTGCTGCCAAGTCCGGCCATTTTCCCTTTTCCCTTGAGGAACAGCAGCAAAGTGGGCAGTGCTGGAGAGTGATGGGTGGCTCACCTGTGCAGAAAGGCCCCATAGGTCTCCTTGACGATGTTTTTCTGGGCCTGGCGAATCTTATCTCTCTGCTCTGTGTCTGGAATAGCCCAGGCCTTTTGGATTTTACATAATTCTTCAAGGCCATCATTGAAGCCCTGACCATCAAAGAGGTGGAAAGGGAAGAGACGAGACACAAAAGCTGTGGGACTGCATCACCACAGTGTCAGCACCAAGCAGTGAAGGGAAGAGGACCCTGGCTCACCTTAAAACGCTCCTTGATCATCTGCCGCTCCTTATCCCGAAGCTGGGGGTCAGGGGAGCCAGAGAAAGAGAAAGCTTTTTGTTCAAACAGCATGGGCCCCAGGCCTCTCTTGCTGTCCCCATGGCCACATGCACACTGATCATTTTAACCCAGAGACTTAGCAAAAGGTATCGCATTTGCTCAATACCCCTTCCCAGCCCTGGCCTTTTTTCCCACCTTGACTCCAGGCTGGAACACAGGTAGATTCTTCTCTGAGATGTAATCAGTCACCTTTAACCAACTGCCAGACAGCAGGGAGAAAGGCATGAGGCCAGGGAGAGACAGCTGCGCCTGCCCTGACACAGGCATGTTTTTTTTTTTTTTGTTTGTTTGTTTCAATATTTGTTTATCTACTACTAGGGAAGAGGGGTTGGTAAGAACTGATCTGGGTCACTATGAAGCAAAATAACAGATCTTTTCCTTGGCAACAGAAAATGTTTAAGCTGCTCACTTTAAAAATCAAGAACAGGGCTGGGGAGATAGCTCCGTAGAATAAGTGCTTGCCTGGCAAGCACAAGGTCATGAGTTCAACCCCCAGTACCTCAAAAATAAATAAATAAATAAATAAATAAATAAATAAGTAAATAAATATCAAGAACAGAAGACAGGGTGATCAATATGTTGAGCAGTCGAATATACTTTATATCAGTATCGTGGAAAATTAAGAAGAAACATGAAAAAGGAGGGAGAAGACATAAATGGGAACAGTGAGAAACTCAAAGGGAATTAACAAGCCAAGGAGAACAGAGGCCCAAAGAAGCAGTGAGTAGGAGGACAGGGCAAGCTCAGCCATCAGCCAGGTTCAGTGACTCCCAAGGCCCTGCTCCCCTCCTGGGCTAAACATTTACGCATATACCCAACACTGTCTCTTCAGCATCCCTCACCTTAGTGCCTGGCAGACCACTCGAAAGAGGCCCCGCAGCCTCTCAGGGACCAGATAGTGAGAAAAGCCAGCCTCTCTTTCCAGTGCATGATTTTTTTTTTTTTTAAGTGGAGAGAAGGACTGGCCAGATAGCTCAGAGGACTAAAGCCCCTGCTTAGCAGAGAGCAGCAGCCAGCGTTTGATCCCCAGGTGCTGTGTCAGCCCCGCCCCCAGGGTGCACTGAGATGGCGAGATGGGAGTGGTGGAGCATGGTGGAGTGCGCCTGTAATCCCAGCACTTGGGAGGCTAAAAACAGGAGAATAACTGAGTCTGATCTACATAGTGAGATCCTACATAATCTAGTATATTTAGACCCTGTCATAAACACATTTAAAAAAAAAAAGTGGAGAAAAGAAACAAAAGAAAAGAAATGAAAAAAATCTCAGAAAAGAAAGAAAAGGCTGAAAGGGGTGGAGCTCAGTAGCACAGCCCACGGTAATGTCCTGCACAAGGACCTGGGTTCCAGCACCAGCACCAAAAGCCTCTACAACCAAGTGTAGGCTGGGGTCTGCAGGACAGCAGCTGATAAACCCACCCCACAGGCACTGTATTGGGCCCAGGGTGGGGGCGAGGCTAGGTCAGCTCAGGCCCAGTAGGAGGGTGGGCACCAGTCACCTGCGCTGATAGGTCTGGATCTGCTGCTCGATGTGTTCCCGGTAGGAGCGCTCAGCAGTCTTCTGGGTTACAGCCACCAGCTGGATCAACTCTGACCTGGGCACAGGTAGAAGAGAGAATACAGAAAGAGACTTAGCTTCTGGGGCCTAAAAGCTGCTGGGCTCTGCAGTACAACCAGGAAGGAGGGGCTCCTTATCCATCTTGAATCTTCCACAGATCTAAGGAGGCAGCACTCAGCCTCCCGGGGTCAGGGCTAAGAGGACTGATAGCCCTCTCCTGCCCTTGCACACAGGAGCAGGAGGCTACGGAAGGCACAGTCGGCCCTGGAGGGCCCAGGGGAAGTGAGGCGTGGAGCTGCGGTGCCTGAAGCCACTTACTTCTCCAGGGACTTGAGGATGTAGTTGTAGTTGTTGTGCAGGAAGATGGCGCTCAGTGCTGGGTCTTCGTACACCTTGGACTTGCTCAGCAAGTTCAGCTGCAGGTTGCCCAGGACTTTACCTGCACACAGAAAAATGGGGCCATTCCAGGTGGCCTGACCCATGACCTCCCATGGGCCCCAGTAACCAATTCCTGGCCATGGCTTCTTGCCCTCCTGGCTCTGGGGCATCAAGAATCCTTCCTAATTGCATTGACCCCTGAACCAGAGGGGGTACTATTGCAGGGTCAGGAGAGGGACCTATGAATATCTAGAGATCACAGAAAGGGCTTTCCTGGGAGGGAAAAGACAAGGAGCAGGTTCTGCCTGAGAGTCACTTACAGATATAAGTGCTCAGGAGGCGCTTGCTAAACTCGGAGCTGTAGCTGGTGGCTGAGGAGCTGGTCTCTGTGAGAAGAGAAGTCCTGTTATTTCGGCGGCAGTGACCAAGACCTTTCCTATCCCACACCCACAAGGAGCAGTGGAGGAAACACTGAAGAGGACTTGGGCTTCCTAGGGTACACGGGACCCAGAGGAGCTCAGGGAGGGCTGGTGCCTGCTCAGTCACAGGGCTGCGTCCTAGACTCTGGGACCCAAGGCCACCTCTGTCTTGGTGGGGTGGCAGGGTTAAGAAGCTGGCCCATGTCATAGGAAGGCAGGTGGGATACTAGTGCCCCAAACCCCAACCTCCGGCCTCTGACCCATCCTGGGCAGTTACCTACAAGACCCATTTGCCCACCTGCCAATAGCAGCAAAGTATTAAAATGGTATCCCATAGCCTCTCCACCTTCTCCCCACTCTACAATCCCAGTACTAGGTCATTCTGAATAGAGGGACCCGCTAGGCAGAAGGCTAAGGCAGAGGGGCCAAGTTAGCCTGGCAGGCATATCCAGGGTGCTGGAAAATAGCAGGGTGCTGCCTGGATGGGCTCAGAGACAGAAGGTGACCAAGATGGGAATGCAGAGAGGTGAGATCACTCTGGAAGAACTCTTGTCTCTCTGACCCAACCCCCAACAGGCCCTGTGTCTGTCCCCAGGGAACCTCACCCGAGGGGCTTTGGGAGGGGGAATGGGGCTGCAGAGACGCACTGCTTACCTCGGGGGTCTAAAGGAATATTGTATGTGTCCCCAAGAACTACGGAATGAAAGGCAGTGCACACAGAGGGGGATGAGAGAAACAGAGGAGGGAGAAAGATGCAAGTTCAAAAAATAGGTTAGAACAGCTGCGCCACCCAAGTCAAGAAGACCTCTCCCCATGGTAACCAGACACAGGGCAAGACACACCAAGCCAGACCCTCTCAAGGCCAGAGAATGCATGGAAGGTGGAAATATGACGGCCCACAGGCCAGAGGCAGCCTGTTGGCTCATCCCCAAACAGGGGCAGATAGGGAGGGCCTGGGGAACCTGAGCTTGGAATGCCCCAGAAGACTCCTCCTCCTTCCACACCAATCTTCCAAGCTCCAGTGCCAGCGTGGTGGCCGGTAGGAGGACACCCAACTGGCCCTGAGTCACTGGCCCTTCAAGGGACAGCTGTGGAACTAATCAGGAGACTAGGTGGACATAAGAGGCAGCGGAGAAACATGGGAGGAAGGCAGGGCAGGGAGAGCATCTATAGGCTGGCAGTGCCCAGTGCAGAGTAAGGATGGCCCAAGGAGGGAGGGAGGGCTTGGGGGGGTCACAGAGATAGCAGCAATCCCTGTTTACACTCAGCCCAGGACAGCCCCAACGGTCCCCACACATCCCACCTCTCAATTCCATCCCACAGATTAAAGGAGACCCCTCACCAAACCCTGCCTTCACCCTCTGAAGGGTGGCACCTCCCAGGAGCCTAACCCCTTATCCACAGGCAAGAGGGAGCAGTGGGGCCCAGGTGGGGTCCCAGGTAGGGCCAGTTGGGATACTGTGTACCTTGGGAGGCCAGCATGGCACCTGCTGTCTCTTGGAAGTCCAGAAGCTGTTGCAGGAAGAGGATGGCCTGGCGGCGAGGACATAGCCCAGGAGGAAGGTCAGGGCAGGGCCCAGCCCAGGGCCTGCACATGTCCTCATCTGACCAGGAGGGCAGGTCAGGGGCCAGGGATCTAGATGCCCACTGAGAAAGGTGGCTGGAAGTAGCATGTTTTACTCTTTGGGTTCTGGCTGCCCAAAGGTCCTCTCTGCCAGAGATTCTATACACTGTCCTGTCCATCTGCCACCAGCACTCATGAAGGCTGAGAGGCTCTGGACCAGGCTGGCTCCTGCCATGGGTGCTGTCCCAGCCCCTGGGCTGGACCCCCCTTCTCCCATCTCCCCAGGGGTCATTGAGTAGCACCTACATTGCTGGTGAGCTCGTGCACAGTACCATCCTTGGGCATGTTGTATTCCTTATCTGGATCATTCTGTGGAAGAAACAACTCCTGGTTCCCTCACACAGCTCCCCAGGCAGCTTCAGGCCTATGCCACACTCTAGTCCACCTACTCATTGCACCACTTCCTGGCAGATGGATGTTAGGATGCTCCTTGCCCTCAGGCTAAGCAAGACCACAGGACAGAAGCACCTGGCCTTGGAGGGCCCCATAGCCTAGGAAGGAGACAGCCTGACAGGAACTAACAGGGACTATAAGCACAGTGGCTTCCCAATAGGACATACCTGAACCTCTTGCAGTGCTGCTCTGAGTCCCCTACCCAGGTAAACAAACAGGTGGGAACAGAGGAAGACAGGACAGATACCTTGATGTTGTCCGCAAAGTCCTCCAGTGCTTTGGCTCCAATGGTCTCCATGGAGGTGATGAGGCCAGGTAGCTTGTTCTTGGTGCTGGCGGCCGTGCCCTGAGGAAGCACAGTGTACAGCTGTGGCCACTGCCCTCCAAAGCAGGTGGGGTCCACCTCCTTCTGGCCATTTCCCTGCCTCATCCCAGGGACTAGCCCTCTATCAGCTCTTCTTCAATCACCTGTGAGTGTCCCGACTTGCCCAGGGCCCTGCAGAAGCTACTAGCACTTACTTAGAAGACAGGAGGAAGGCTGGATTCTTTCTTCCTGTGTTCCCAAGAGCCTTCCTATCACATACCTGGAGTACCTGGTCAAACTCGGGCTTGGTCTGCTTGAGGTGCCGCAGGATGGGGAAGACCGTGAGCACCGTGGAGAAGTCATGGCGTATGATAGCCTTCCGGGCAGCAGACACAATGTTCTCCCCCTCAAGCATCAGCCCATCCAGTGCATCCTAGAGAAGGAGGAACCAGGATCTACCTCAAGGAGGTGTGGAGCAGAGAGCTGGCTCCCAGGGACAGCAAAGGCATCTCACTGGGTTTAAGGGGAAGCCAATGTGTTGTGGCAAGAAGATAGGGGCCGGAGGGGAACTTAGCATCCTCCCAGGACAGGCCCCAGCTACAATGTGGTAGCTGTAGTTGAGGGCTTCGGATAGTAGGCCTGTTCCACACTTGAGATTCTATAGGGACAGCTTTGCTGGGCAGAGACCTAGGACAGGGTGGACAGGCAGGACCTGTATCAAGGAGTCAAAGGTTTTCTTCTGATGATGCTCAGGGATGATATCCGTCAGCAGTTGGTACTCGCTCTGGGCCAGCTTGACAAAGGCACTGACACAGTGAATATAGGCATCAGTCTCCACGTCTAGCATGTCATCTCTCCCTGTAGGAATGGCAGTGCTTGAGCTGCTGGTCTGGTGGCAGCCATTCACCCTGCTGGAGGGGTGTGGGTCTCCTGGCTCCTGCCCTGTAACCCAGACCAGCAGTGGGTGGAAGAGGGAGAGCAGACTGCTCTGGCAGGAAGCTCTAAGGACACTGGCAGGCCCATCCAGCTTCGGGGGAACTCAGGAACTGAGTCCAGCCTTTGCCCTGGCTTCATTTGTAGTTCTGTACAGACATACTTATGGGTCCGGGGCATCAGATACTCGAGGTGGTAGAAGTACAGAAGGAAGGAAGAGCCCTAACTTAACTTCCTGGATAAGGCACGTCTGACCCTGGGACTGAGGATTCTGATAAATGCCAGGAAGACAGCAGTCCAGATGGGTCGGTGGCACTGCCCCTTTCAAGGAAGGACTTGGTCCTTCATCTGAGAAAATGTGGCGTCTATGAAGGCTAGCCCAGCAGGCCTTCTGGAGTACATCGATACACAGCCTAGCTGTGTCTGGGGGCAGAAGCTAAGATGAGGTAAGCGAGCCCCCATGAGGGAGAGCATGGCTGTCATTTGCCTTGGGAGGAAATGGCCTCCTACTCTTGGAGGCCAGGGCAGGGGCACTGCAGACCAGGCCAGCACAGAACTGCTTGATCCCATGTGCCAAGGGGCAGGTTCTGAGGTCTCTGTCAGAGCTCTCTGCCCTCAAGGGTACCACCTTCCCCGCTGCCTGCTTTTTAAGTAGTGAACAGCAGCTTCTCCCTTGGTCCAGGCCCTGAGAGCCACGCACACACTCCCATCTCAAGATAGGCAAAGAGACCTAGTGGCCAAAGAGACCAGAGAGAGGGCCAGGTAGTAGCCTGGCCCATCCTTGACGCACAGCAGGCCCCGCTGGGCAGGCAACAGCAGGCCATCCGGGGACTACAGCAAGGGCAGTTATCAGCAGCTGCCTTCAGGCTGGGCTAACGGTACTCACCAGCCAGCGGCCTGTGCTTGTCGTTCAGGGCCTCGGACAGGTGCTTAACTCGGAAATCATGCTCGTGACCTAGCGAGATGTCGCCGCACAAACACAAGCAGCATTTATCCAGGGGCTAGGCAGCTGCCTCTCAGGGTATGGGGAAGAAGCCCTTGATCTTCAGAAGGGAGATTTGAAATGGGCACTGGGAAGGGTTCCAAGACCCTCCTCTGCCTCAAATCACCATAGGAACAGCCGTTTCAAGCCTGACTTGCAGCAAGTGCCTGGGACTATGTTGGCTGCTTATTTCCCTGAGCCTGGGGGCTGAGAGAAAGGTGGGCCAACCAAGGAGGGTCTGCTGCTTGGCCTCAGGGGGTCTCTCTGCCTTTCTGTGTTTGGGGAGAGACCCCATGAGAAAAATGGCATCCTGAGTGACAAGAGGCAGCCCTGCATTGCTTCCCAGGCTGATGCTTTTCAAGTAGAGCTGGGTCCCCCAGGGCAGCTAAAGTGGCTGCCCCTTCCCTGACAGGAGGAAGAGAGGGCACATGGCCTACAGGTTGCCTGCCCTCTTGCTGCACACAACCCCCTTTCTAAAGAAGGGGGTGGTCAGAAGGCCTCAGCCAGCTTGGTCCTGCCACTGCTGGTCTCAGCGTGAAAGGGCTGCCCCAAAACAAAGAACTTTTTCTGCGTTCACACAGGAGACAAGGACAGAGACAGGGAAGGGGAGTGGGAAGCCTGAGGGAGGGCAGAGCTGCCACCAGCCAGACAGGATCAGGCTGAGGGCACAAAACTGCTGGGGCCTGACAGGCATCAGGGACTTGCTGTTCCCACCCTGCCCCCGCAGGGTTTCTCCCAAGGTCCTCCTGGGGGAGGCTCTGCCCTGCCAAATGAGTGGACACATAGTGGAGAAGGAGGGGATGGGAGGAACACAGGGTGATTACCTTCCAGAGGAATGAGGTTAGAACCCCCCTTTTTCCCATCTAGACCATGCTGGGAATACTGTTTCAGAAGGTTCTGAGCCTTACGGATCGTCCCTGTCACCAGAGCCACACAGAGAGGAGATAAGAAGACCTAGGAAATGAGTGAGAGAAAACAGCAGCGGCCCTCCACCTGCCCAGCCCATGCCCACCCAACAGCGAGTGTGCCCCTCCAGCTCTCCCAGCAGGCCCGGTCCCATGGCTGCCAGAGACCCCAGCGATGGGCCGGACACATTTCATTCTCTTGTCTATTGCTGGCCCTCACTGTTTCAGGTCTGAGTTTACTTTTGGAGGGTGACTGAGATTAAGGTAGAGATCCACTACAAATCGAAAAGAAAACATTCTTTGGGTAGCATTCTAATCAGCGTGGATGGAGGAGCTGGTGACAGAGCTCTCACGCTGGAGGGCACAAGCCAGCTGGCAGAGCCTGGGTACGCCTGCAACCCCAGCCCCAAACTCCAGTTTCCTGACTCAGGGCAAACAGCAGTCCATGGGAAGCAGCCCCTGGGGGTATGCCCCGAATGGAGGCATCAGGAACTTGCTGACCCACAGGCAGTTGTTCCTACACCAGGGGAGTCATTCAAGCCACCACAGCAATGGGAGCAAACTGAAAAGCCAAGAAAGGGCTAACAAAAGCCACCACTGGAAAGGGAAAGCAGGAAGAGAGTGCACATGCTCTCCGCATGGGGGAAAAAAAGAACAGTTAGTATCACAAGTAAAAACAATACAAACAAAAAACACCACACCACAGCCTTTGGGGTCAGCCACCTCTATGGGGATGAGACATCTGGGGTAGAAAATGTGAAGACACAAAATAGCATTCAAGAAGACAGGTCCAGCTGTGTAGCCCAAAAAAATGTACTAGGGGAGGAAAGGCAATAAAGGTGGACAGAGCTCCACCAGAATTCAAAAATAAAAATTCTGAGTGGCATTTTAATTAGCATAGACAGGTCAGCCTTTTTGGGAGACTCCCTCCCCTATATATCTGATCTCAGTGTGGCTGCTGTGTCCTAGCAGCTTCCCTGAGGCTGAGGAACCAGGGCAGGCCCAGCTGGTTCAATGTTCTGTCTGCAGCAAATTCCCCAGTGCTAACCCTGTCTGGCGGGCCCAGCTCACACCTGTCTCCCCTGTACTGCTTCCTTCAGTGTGTTCCTTGCTAATGAGCAAATCAGAGTCTCATCCCAGAACAAACCAGGAACAGATGGGTGACGTGCCCAGCCAGGGCCTCACCAGCCTGGCTTGGAGGGCATCGGAGATGATGACCTGGCAGCCACCAGGCGCATCAGGCACCCCACTAGCAGGACTAAAGCTGAAGCTGGTGTCTCACCACAGTGGAGCCCCTCCTGCTCCTTTACCCTAGGCCTGGAACAGATGTCCCAGGAGCCTCATTTCTTGGTCCCAAGCCACTAGCTTGCATCCATTCTTTTTTTCTTTTTTTTTTTTTTTATAATTTTCCTTTAGAAATCATCACTTTTTAAAAAAATTTTATTTATTTGTGTGTGTGTGTGTGTGTGAGGCCAGCTCAGTCCACCAGGGGGTGGGGCTGGTTGGCATGTGGTGCTGGGGGATTGAACCGCGGTCCCTGTGCTTTGCTAAGCTTGTTCTAAGTAGGTGCTTTAGACCACTGAGCCATCTTACCAGCCCCTTTTCATCCATTCTTAAAAACCCTGTGAAATCACTTTTTTTTTTTTTTTTTTTTTTTTTCTTCTGAACCAGGGATTGGACTCAGGCCCTTGTGCTTGCCAGGACTACTGAGCCATCTCCCCGGCCCTTAAAGCCCTGTGAAACCCACAGGCCAGGGCCCTCAGAGCCACAGTCTTCCTCTTGAATCTCTAAACTAAGAGCAGATTAGGTACATGGTGAGCCCTGAGGTCAGTTCCCATAGTACAAACTGTGTCTGGGGCTTCCAATGGGCCTGTCAGAGAACAAGGCAGAAGTGGAAGTGAGCACAGAGTGGCTGAGGCCCAGGCAGCTCACAGACAGCTCCTTCCTCACAAGATAAAGGCTCAGAGATGGACCTGCTAGCCACACAGGCAGCTGCAAACCAGCAGGCTGGGTTAGTAAAGTCACTGTTGGCAGCAGGTTCTCTAAGGGGTGGCCAGGGTATCCACTCCAGGGAAAGAAGACTGCATTTCCAGCCAGGGCCACAGATCCAGTTCCGTCATGCTCTGCTACTCACTTGTACCCTGAGGGCATCCTCCATGCCTGAGGAGGAGCAGGTGACCTGGTTGGATGTGAATAGACACCTCGCTCTTCTGAGGGGCTGGAGAAATGGGGCAGGGGGCTGAGGGTGAACTCTAGATAGAGTCTCCTATCATGAAGGTGAATACATAGGCCACATTCTAGGAAGTGCCTGCGGTAGCTGAGGAACCCGAGGCCGTCTTCTCTCCAGCTCCTACCTCAACATCCCCTACCCAGCCCATCCAGCCTTCTGGACAGCCCAGAGCAACAGTTCTGGAGGCAGAGACAGCCAGGCCCACTAAGCCATGACTGACACACAGATGGAATGTGAGAGAGAGAGAGAGAGAGAGAGAGAGAGAGAGAGAGAGAGAGAGAGAGAAAATGCAAAGAATGGGTGCTTCAAGGATACCAACAACCTGAAGCCTGGAACTCTTACCCCATGCCCTTCTCTGACTTCTACAAGGGACTAACTGCATCACAGCCCAGAGGCCAGTTTAAGTTCTTCCAAGAGGATGGTCTAGAATTTCTTTCCTTTCTGTATCAATGGTGGAGGTACAAACCTCAACTTTCACTTTGTAGCTGGGAAGGGAAGGCTCGAGGGCCAACCCACTCACCCCACTGTTTTGGCTGCAGCAGCATGCCTGACCTCTTGACGGGACAACAGAGGGGCCTAGCAAGTAGCTTTGCCCAACAGCTTCATCATCCTCCTGCCTCAGGAGAGACTGAGAATATCTGTGATCCTCACCCCCTTCAAAGACATTATGTAACTGCCAGAATGGACTGCTGGGCAGAAGGAAGAACCTTGCTCTCTAGGAACTTGCTGGATAGGCAGACACCTGCTTTCTGTCCTATGTGCCCACAACTGGGGCTGTCATGAAGATAAATCCTAGAAGTGGGCTACTGCTGCTGACCTGGGGTGGAAAAAGCAATCCAGGTCCCACATAGCCCTTTGGCTGGAGCTGAGATGGGCCAGGGTGGGGGCTCACCTGGCCGCTTGATTGGCTTCTTGGTGGGTGTGTCCTTTCTCTTATTGGGGATAGCAGGGGAGTAGGGAACCCCAGAGGAAGAACTGCTCTTCCGGAAATGTTCCTTTAGGCCCTTGATGGAGCGGTCCAACTGACTGGAGCGTATCTGGTAGTAGACATTCATGAAATCTGGGAAGAGAGAACAAGAGTGGATGGCAGCTGGGGCCCTGCCTCTGCTTCCCCCCAGGGTAGCAGGGAGCCTAGTGTGGTCACCTGTTCTGGCCACAGTTGTCATGAGGCCTCAAGTCAAGAAAAGTCAAGGAGAGAATCACCCTGCAAATTGAGCTGATAATTGCTTATAAGTTGTTTTTTTCCCCCCCCACTCATGTATTTGGTACGGGGTCCCACTATGCATCTTGGTCTCATAGTGATTCTTCTGTTTTCAGCGTCCCCAGTGCTGGAATTACAGGTGCATGCCACCATGTCTGGACTTGGTTGCCAGCTCAGCACACCCTGGGGGTAGGGTTGGCACAGCATATGGAACTGGGAATTGAACCCTGGTCCCTGAGCTTGCCAAAGCAGGCGCTTAGTCCGCTGAGCTATCTCGCCAGCCCTTGTTAACAAGGTTTTAATGGTACTTTTTTTTTGGTACTCTTTTTTTTGCGGAACCAGGGATTGAACTCAGATCCTTGAGTTTGCCAGTCAAGTGCTTATCTTACTGAGCCATCTCCCCGGCCCCTTTTTGGTACTCTTAATTGAACTCAGGACATTGTGCTTGCCAGGCAGGAGTTTGTGTCACTAAGCTATATCTCTGGCTAATGGAACCTTTAAAAATTTTATTGGCTTGTTTTGAGACAGGATCTATGTTGCTCAGACTGGCTTCAAACTCCTGGGGTTAAGGGGTCCTTGTGCCTCACCACCCCAGAGTGTTATAAACATGTGCCACCATACCTGTTTTTTAAAAATAAAAAAATGTAAAATTAACATCCTGACTTAAGCTGGCCAAAGAATGTGAGAAATATGAGGCAGAAGAAGACTAAATGTTAGTAAATAAAAAACACATGGCATCATTAGCCATTAAAAATGAAAATAAAAAATAAAAGTAGGATACAATAGTGCTGCTGAATGGTAAAAATAATGAAGAACAAATAGCCTGTCAATGAGTGCACTGATGGGTATCCATCTGAGGAGCTAACAACGGGCAAGATTACAAATAAGCTACATCAACTACTGCAACACTGAGCTAGCCTAAGAACTTCCAAAACAAAACAAAAAATAATACACACAGGTATGTTCACTGTGGCAATATTTATCCATATCAGAAAATTGGGCTTCCAGGCAGCTTTGAATAGCCACAGGTCACCGACCCTGGTCGGACCCTGCCAGAGTGAATGTGCTCCCAAACCACTCTTCCTTTAAGGCACCGTTAGATCCTAGAGATTTTTAATTTGTGTCTTTCTAATCACAGATAACTGCAAGGACCATGTCCTGTGCTGCTCTGTCACTCCTCGTTTGGTATTGTGTTGGACATCATCACAGGCACTTAGTGACACACAGAGGTTGATGATTCTTATAAAATAAACAAAATTAGAAAATCCCAAAGTGCATATGAACAAGGAGAAAGATAAGAAAACCATTGTCATTTCAGCAGTTATCAACAAATAATGTAAGAAATGGACCCAAGTAGAGATTCTGGCTGAAGAGTTCTGATGGGCCTCGAGGCTATCCACTCAGCCTCCTGGATTCCCAGGAAGCCACTGAAAATCTTCCACCAAACCCAAGGCACTCCCCAGCATGTCTCCTGAACCACAGACCTGTTCATGTAGTCTAATATAGCCAGGCCATAAATCCTGCTACCACAGTCTTCCTGAGAAGGTGAGAATAATCACAGATAAGACGCACATATCAACATGCTAACAAAGAGAAGAGTATGGAGGGTCAAAGGGTATAAAAGAGGACAGCCACTGGAGTTACTTTCTAAAATTTTTGGTTAAGTCTAAAATTTTTTTAAAACCCTAAGACTAGCAAAAGAGATAGTACTACCATATCAGGGAATATCAGGCAGTTGTAAAAAAAAAAAAAAGAGAGAAAAAGGAAAAAAAAAAAAAAAAAAGAAGCCAGCCTATATGTACTGATAAGGAACTATCTCAAGGCATTGAATATGCTTACTGTATGTTTAATATGGAAGCAATGTATCAATAGGTGTAAGACCTTTGGGAGTGAGGAGAGGAGGCATACAATTACTGTCTTTCACATACACATAGTGGAACAGAGATTTTTCTGGAGGAACATAAATCTTAATAGTGCCAATCTCTGAGTTATGACGTAGGCATCAGAGAAGGGGGGAGAAGGACTTCTACTTTTCACCTAAAAATAATGAACAACATTTTCTTCATAATCAGAAAAATTCACAACTAATAAAAAAGTAAACAAAAGGGACATAAAAGTTTGGATGTGGCTAACCTTGCTATGTAAGATTTTTATTCTTATTTTTCACAATGTAATGTTGAAGCTGTTAAATTACTGCTCATTTGTTTACTATATAATTTCCTTTTATTGAAAAAAAAAAATCCACCTGGCTGTGGTAGGGCATGCCTGTGCTCCTAGCACTCAGCGGCTGAGTGATGCAAGGATTGACAGGAGCTGGAGGCCAGCCTGAACTACATAGAGATCCTGTCTCAAAATCCAATCAATCAATCACATTCAAATGGGTTTGGAACAAAGTGGGAGTGGCAATGCTCCACCCCCTAACCCCCCACTCCCCCAGCCTGCTGTCTGACAGGACTAACAAAAGCCTTCTCACCTTGGTTGCGGCCAAATTCCACCAGCCAGAGGGAGATGCGGACCACATCCTGGAGCACACTTTCAGGCAGGTGTTCCAGGGCCACATCCTCCTGGACCTCTAGCTCCTCGTCACCACTGATGAGATCCAGGATGAGCACAGGGGAGACAACCTTACTGTGCCGGGTCATCAGGCTGCGGAACTCAGACTCCAGTGAGTCCTTCCCCCTCTCAAACAGAAGCTTCTGCAGGGACAGCAGAAGGAAGCAGGCCGTTTTGCTGTTGCTGTATTGCATTCTTTTTTAAAAATATTTATTTATTTATTTTGTGTGTGTGTGTGTGTGTGTGGCCAGCTCAGCCCACCAGGGGGCGGGGCTGGTGGGCATGTGGTGCTGGGGGATCGAACTGCGGTCCCTGGGTTTTGCTTAGCTTAGCTTGTTCTAAGGTGCTTTAGACCACTGAGCCATCTCACCAGCCCCTGTATTGCATTCTGTAGCCCCTATTTTACCTTCCTGACTCAGGGCCTCTGCCTGGTACTGTCTTTCTTCCTTCAAACCAAAGAAGAAACATCAGGAAGCCTTTGTGTTTGAGGGTATGGGGCATGTGGGAGTTAAATCCAGGGCCTTGTGCATGCTAGGCAAGCATTCTACCACTGAGCTCCATCCACCCACCCATCTACCCATCTACCCATCCACCCACCTACCTACCCACCCACCCACCCGTCCACCCATCCACTCACCCACCCATCCACCCATCCATCCATGCATTCATCCATTTATTTATTTAGAGACAGGGCCTTGCTAACTCACTCAGGCTGGTCTTGAATCTTCTTGCCTCAGGCTCCTGAGTAGCTGGGATTACAGGTGTACACAACTGTGTACAGTGAGGAATCCTAATTTGATTTCTTTCCCTTACATTCTCTTAAAAGTGATAGTCACAGGTGCAATGCAGGATTTTACAAAAAGTAGCTGGTTAATAAATATTGGCTGATTGTTTCCTCGCTTGCATTGTTGTTTCTTTTTATAGGTTTACAAAAGAAGAAAACAGATAAATTGGACTATATCAATGGAAAACTTTTCTGCTCCAAATGCTACCAACAGGAAGGTGAAAAACAACCCATAGAATGAGAAAGTATTTATAAATTACGTATCTGGCAAGGGACAGGTATCTAGAACATAAGATTAAAAATGCTTATCCAGCTGGACATGGTGGCACACACTTATAATCCCAGAACTCAGGAGGCTGAGGCAGGAGGATCATTGGTAGTTCAAGTCCAGCTTGGGCTACAAAGTGAGCTTAAGGCCAGCCTGAACTGCACAGCCTGTCTCAAAAAAGACAAACAAACAAGCAAACAAATGCATATCCACACAAAAAATATATAGAGCCAGGAAGATAGAGTATGTCTATAATCCCAATGCTTGGGAGGCTGAGACCAGAAGATTGCCGCAAGTTTGAGGTCAGCCTGGGCTACATAGTGAGTTCAAGATCACCCTAAACTATGTAACAAAAGACCCTGTCTCAAAAAATCAATACCAAAAAACATCGAAAGAACAAAACAAACAAAAATGGATGTACCAGAAGATTCATAGCAATATTATTTGCATTAGTGGAAACAATCTAAGTGTCTATCTCAGGATAGGTGGACAAGCAAAATGTATCATATCCACACTATTTGGCAATGACAGGGAATGAAGTTCTAATATATGCTACAACATGGCTGACTCTTGAAAACTTTATGCTGAATGAAAGTTGCAAATGGTCACTTATTACATGCCACCATTTATAAAAGAAGTCTATGTTAGGTGAATCTTATGGATGGAGAACAGTGATTATGGGGGGGGGCAGGGAGAGACAGGTGAGGGAAGAAAGGAATAGCAACCACCAACGGGTAGGATTTTCTTTTTGAGATAGATGATCTAAGTGCTCTAAAGTTGATTCTGGTGATGGTTACACAACTTTATAAAAGCACACATTTTTATACTCTATACTGACTAATTTCATGGTAAGTTCAAAATATATCACCTATCGCAGTAAAGATGCTAAAGAGAGAGAAGAGTGTTTTTGCTTAAACAGAAAGTGACTCCTCCAGGGCAAATTCTTAGTTTGACATCTTTTGTACTTGCCTTCTCTATCTTACTTGGACTTGTGATCTTCCTGCCTTATTCTACCAGAGCGTTAGGATTACAGGCATGCATCACTATGCCCAGCTACTACATGCTTTTTTGCAGAACCAAGGGTTGAACTCAGGCCCTTGTGCTTGCCAGGGAAGCGCTTATTCCACTGAGCCATCTCCCTGGCCCTACATCCTTCTTTAGTTGCTCTGGAATCCCCCACGAGATGGGGCAAGGACTGATGTTCCCAAACTTCTCACGATACTCTCATTAGCCCCTTACCACTTTGTTGAGCTCTGGGCTGTCTGGGCTATTGTCCTGAAAATACTCCACAGCCTTCTGAATTTTGGCCATGCTCCCCAGGTATTCCTCTAGCCGACCTGTGGGGCTGGAAAGAAAAGGGCCAGGTCACCATAGGCGGATGGTGGACGGACAGAGAGTAAGGGAATGCTATGTAGAGGGGGAGGAAGAGAATTCACATAGGGAATTTTAGCCTTAAATATATTCTAGTCCCTCTTCTCAGGCCTATGCCACTGCTCGAAGGGACTCGGTATATGACTCTCTTTGCCTAGCTCACCCTTCCCTGATGATCTTCTCAGTGTCACTAGCCACATGGTAGTAGCTGATGACATGATCCAGGCAGGATAGTGTCTTCTCAACGTTCTCCTGCAATCGTTGCAGATTCTCTGTTTGCTTGTGCACAGGGATGATGGAGTTCTCCAGCTTCATAAGGCGGCTCTCAAAGGATGACAGGATAGACACCTGCAGAAGAAAAGGCTCTTGCTCTCAGGTCTCAAGACCATCCAAGCACTGCTTCAGCCTATCCAGAGTCATCTGACTTCCCAGCTTTCCTCTGTCTTTAAGACAATAAGCTCCATACAGGAAGGGACAGGGTTTCTTGTGCACTACTATATCCCCAGTATGCACCATGTGCCCCATACATACAGGTGGGCCACAATAAACTGCTTGAAACTTGATTTGAAGGTAAGCCATGCATTAGCTTTTCCGAAGATGATCATTTCAGGATGGATTCCTTCCACCCTCTGATGCCAAAGCTCAATTTCTCTTTACTCTTGAAGTTTCCCTAGTCTGAACAGGAAATAGTTTTGCACAGAGTAGCCTCAAGTGCATTGCTGGTACCTTCAAAACTCCTTTTCTCTTAACGTCACTAGGACTTGATTATGTCACTAATTACAGATCCAAGTTTGCATTTTCTCAATCCACACTTTTCTAGTCTTCCCTAGGAATAAAGGACACTCACTTATTGAGCACCAAGGACTGTACAAGATGTGTTCACATGCATGAGCTCGTATGTCCTTAACAGACACATTGGGAGGCTGCCACTGTTTCTGTTACAGCAGACAAGTTAGCTGATACTCAAAAGTACCTGCTAAATTGGTCAAGCAATGGCCGTGACTCATCCTCATGTCAGACACTGACAAACGGATGTACAAAGGGTGGTACAGGGCTATAGGATAAATCCTGAGAGTACTTGGCTGACCTTATCAGACACAAAAGTTACGTTTCTTGTTATATAGGTCTTGCTATATCTTGGTCTTAACCATCCAGCAGAAAAGTATAAAAATAAGGTATATAAAGTAAATCCTTTTTTTTTTTTTTTTTTTTTTGCGGAACCGGATATTGAACTCAGGCCCTTGTGCTTGTCAGGCAAGCGCTTATTCTACTGAGCCACCTCCCCGGCTCCAGTAAATCCATATTAATACGATGAGCTGCAAAAGGCTCAAGTCAATAACTTCTGAGGATAACCCACTAATATTATAGACTGCTAGACAGTGTTAGATTGTTTAGTTGAACTCAAACACCTATAGTATTTAGATGCCAACAGAATATTCACCTCTTTTTTATTTTAAAATTTTTTATTTATTTATGTGTGTGGGGGGGGGCAGCTCAGCCCACCAGGGGGCGGGGCTGGCTGGCATGTAGTGCTGGGGGATTGAACCGCAGTCCCCGTGCTTTGCTAAGCTTGTTCTAAGTAGGTGCTTTAGACCACTGAGCTATCTCACCAGCCCCCAGAATATTCACCTCTGACAGGGGAAAAAAAAAAAAAGGATACAAAGGAAAGATTATTTTGTATTTATATATACAAAATAGGATAAATTTACAGTTACTTTTGCTTAATTCAATGAGAAGAGGTGTACTAACATTGTTTGGACGGAATATCCTGTCTGCTTCTTGTACTATGGATAACCACTAAGAAGATAACAATGTACAGTGTATTGACTATCAAAACTGTCCTATTAATCAGCTGGGAAACTGTCTCATTCATATTTATTTCTCAATTAAAATATAATTTAAGGGGGCTGGTGAGATGGCTCAGTGGTCTAAAGCACCTACTTAGAACAAGCTTAGCAAAGCACAGGGACCGCGGTTCAATCCCCCAACACCACATGCCAGCCAGCCCCGCCCCCTGGTGGGCTGAGCTGGCCACACACACACACACACACACACACACACAAATAAATAAATAAAATTTAAAAAAAAATTTAGAAAAGAGTGCTGTCCAACAACAACAACAACAAAAGTACCTGCTAGAAGCCACACAGCAAGTAAGCTGCATGGCAAGGTCTAGATCTCAGGTCTGCTGGACCTCAGAGCTCATTCTGTTCCTACGCCCCTGGGGTGAAAGCTGTGCATTCTCTGCCCTTAGTAATCCTAATGTGTCAACCTTACTTGAATTGCCACTGACACATGGCCAGTACTAGTCCACCCAGTCGGTCTCTCTAAATATCTGTCTATGGAGAGAAAGAAAAATAAAGAGCTTAGAAAGTTGAAGTCCAGACCATTGGGGCGACGATATCCTCAGTAAAAGGGTGGGACATAGGGATGGGATCTAGGTAAAAGTGCACGCTGTCACTACAGAAACCCCCACATTACCACCCACGCCGGGCCTGTACATCGCAGGGCTCTCCTCCAGGGCCCAGGGGCGTCCTTCCTCCCAGCTGACAAGGCTCCTCACCATGTTCTTGGTGAGCTGGTCGCTCTTCTCCAGGCTGTCTCGGATGAAGGACAGCGTCTCTTCCTCCTGGGGGGAACGAAAGGGAAGACATCACCAGAAGCCTAAGGCTCAAGGTGGCAGATGCTTCATGGTCCACGGCCTAGCCCCAAGACCTGTCTCCTCTCAGGGAGCGCCCCCGTCCCACCCCTGCCTCTTCTCAGAGTACAAGTCAAGCCCCACTCTCAGCCCTTTTCCTTTATCTTCTCCCCAGGTTCTCCAGCCCCAGCCACCTGCTTCAACTTGTCTTCAATCTCCCGCCGCCGGGCGGACGCCTCTTGTGGGGGGATCATGGCTCCGAAGCCTACGTTTCCCACTCCCCAGTATCATTACCCAGAGGCCTGCTCGGCCTCCGTCCCGGTCACACCCACTTCCGGCCTTGGCCCCGCCCCGAAGCCAGTTGGGGAGCCACATTGGGAGTGGCAGGAAGAAGGGCGCCTGCGCAGAGCTCAAAGAATGGGTGGAGTAGGCAGCCATCTTGAGTGTGGCTGGAAAATGCAAACTGGAGGAGACGCAGCTTTTTCTTCTGCTTCAGATACCCAGTGTCAGGCAAAGACGGTTCTGAAGAAGCCTTATACGTTGCGGCCAGCAGGGCATTTACACTTCACCATTTTCGTTGGTAGATTAACCTCTTTGATAAAGGTCTCTGGGGAAAGGAACATACTTGTTTCCCACATAGCTTTTGCTGTGCGCGTCTGAAGTTGTGTTCCCACGAAAACTGTTCACAGTGCTCTCAGTGATTGATTCAGGCCTATTTGATGAATCAGAGACTTGTGGAGTCGTTCTCACCATCTGCCCTAAATTTAAAAAAGCTGAGTTTTAGAGATTGATTTATTTTTCCATTATTGACAATTGAGGTGCTGGTGAGATGGCTCAGTGGTCTAAAGCACCTACTTAGAACAAGCTTAGCAAAGCACAGGGGCCGCGGTTCAATCCCCCAACACCACATGCCAGCCAGCCCCGCCCCCTGGTGGGCTGAGCTGGCCACACACACACACACACACACACACACATAAATAAAAATTAAAAAAAAAAAAAAAAGACAATTGATCCCAGGGCCTTCTCACAGAGCTACATCCTTAGACCTTTT